ACCATAATTAAAACAGTTCTACTTCCAGTCTCATGTTGGGGCTCCCCCAGTACCCGTCACCGCTCTTTTGAGAGGCTCTTGGAACTGTTGGGCCATTTTGATTTTGCCTGCAGATGGTTCTAAAATGGTTAGATCCAAAGCTGAAAATTCATTCCCTATTCTTTTCTCCTTGCCACACTGTGTTCAGTTACATAGTCCAACATAACTTATCAAAGGTTCTTCAGTGAGATTAAATCACATCATTAAGATACAATAACAAAATGGAGAGTCAAATGTTGTTATGTATATGAGCTACTTTGTAAACTACTGTTAAGAAAGATTAGAGACCCTCAACTCTTTTTTTTATTATTATACTTTAAGTTCTGTGGTACATATGCAGAATGTGCAGGTTGGTTACATAAACACTTGCCATGGTGGTTTGCTGCATCCATCAGCCTGTCATCTACATTAGGTATTTCTCCTAATGCTATTCCTCCCCTAGCCCACCACCCCCCAGAAGGCCCCTGTGTGTCATGTTCCCCTCCCTGTGTCCATGTATTCTCATTGTTCAATTCTCACATATGAGTAAGAACATGTGGTGTTTGGTTTTCTGTTCTTGTATTAGTTTGCCAATAATTATCATTTCCAGCTTCATCCATGTCCCTGCAAAGGACATGAACGAATGCTTTTTATGACTGCATAGTATTCCATGTGCCACATTTTCTTTATCCAGTCTATCGTTGATGGGCATTTGGGTTGGTTCCAAGTATTTGCTATTGCGAACAGTGCCACAATAAACGTAAGTGTGTATGTGTCTTTATAGTAGGATGATTTATAATCCTTTGAGTATATACCCAGTAATGGGATTGCTGGGCCAAATGGTATTTCTGGTTCTAGATCCTTGAGGAATCACCACCCTGTCTTCCACAGTGGTTGAACTAATTTACGCTCCCACCAACAGTGTAAAAGTGTTCCTGTTTCTCCACATCCTCTCCAGCATCTGTTGCTTCCTGACTTTTTAATGTTTGCCACTCTAACTGGTGTGAGATAGTACCTCATTGTGGCTTTGATGTGCATTTCTCTAATGACCAGTGACGATGAGATTTTTTTCATATATTTGTTGGCTGCACAAATGTCTTCTTTTGAAAAGTGTCTGTTCATATCCTTTGCCCACTTTCTGATGGGGTTGTTTTATTCTTGTAAATTTGTTTAAGTTCTTTGTAGATTCTGGATAGCCCTTTGTCAGACGGATAGATTGCAAAAATTTTCTCACATTCGCTCGGGGGTCGTAAAACTAGTTAGCATGCCAGAGTCTCATTTGTTATCAGAATTAACCAGACAAATCACTCCACCAACCAAGAAGGGCCATGTGCCACCACCACCCACGGAATTGAGAAAAAGCTATCAATCTGTCAATCCTGTCCAAGTCCAGGCCAAAACCCTAAACTCTTTAAATAGGAAACCCAAGGAGTCATGGTTGGCTTTTTATTTTATCTCTCTGCATTTGTGATAAATAAAAAATCGAAACAAACAAAACATGATCCTCTTCCAGTTTAACAAAAAAAAATCATAAGTATATAGTGTCTATCTTTCAGAAAACAGAGATCAATTTAAATATTACCATGGCCATGAATTAAGACAACCAATAAAAATTACATTTTAGAGTTCAAGGTTAGTTTTGGAAGACTTAGCAACAATTTCTGAAGTCCATTCTTCGACAATTCTTTGTTAGAAATAGTATGTGCAAGGACAAATTTTATGTTACAGAATAACGTATTTATCTGCAGTTACAGGAGTAAAGTCATGAGTGTTTTTATTTTCTTGCTGGTATTTCTTCAGCTAAGGGGTGGGGGCATGTCATTTTCAAGTCAAGGTGCTAAAATTCAATTCATTAGCACTGAGACAGAATTTTTAAAGCCTAAGAAACTCCAAATATACCATCTGAAAAAGATGAGGCAGAATAAGATTTTTAGCAAATGGTATATGGGGTGTCAGGGAGCCAGAGATCACCTTTAACCCTCCTTTTAGCTCTTAATGGGCTCTTTAGCTGGATTTAGAAACCAAATTGACACTAAGCAGATTAATAAAAGTATACAAATTGTATTAGTTTTACATATACATGAGGATCTTTACAAAAGAGTGCTCAAAGCAATGAGTTTTGTATTATTTTAGACAAAGAGCAGTGATTTTAAGAAGAAATGACAGGACAAAGAAAACCTGGCCAGGGACAGTAAAATGTACCAAATATATGGGGGGGGGGGGCCAGGGGGTGAAGCAGGTGGAAGGTGGGTTACTTTGTTCAGTATGTTTATTTAGGTTTATTGTAGTCTTAAACTCTCTGGTGATAAGGGCTATTTTTTCACCCTGGAATGAAGGAAGTATCACTCCCAGTGGAATCTTTATGGCTCGATGTAAGAGATAGGTCAGCTCTGAGACTACAACTTTTTCAATGTTTTTAACTCAAAATAAATATTTGGGAGGCTGAGACGAGCAGATCACAAGGTCAGAAGATCAAGACCAGCCTGGCCAACATGGTAAAACCCGTCTTTCCTAAAGATACAAAAAATTAGCCAGGCGTGGTGGCGTGCACCTGTAATACCAGCTACTCAGGAGGCTGAGGCAGAAGAATTGCTTGAACCTGGGAGGCGGAGGTCACAGTGAGCCGAGATCGCACCACTGGACTCCAGCCTGGGTGACAGGGCAAGACTCCATCTCAAAGTAATAATAATAATAATCGATATACCAGTCTGGCACATTTGGGGATGGCACATCTTTCACTCCTTCAAGGGGCATGTAAGTTTTCACACCTATACTATAAAGTGTATACATATGAAACCTATCAATGTCATTTAAGTAGACATTCATCTCTAATAGTATAGATGTCAAATAACTAACAAAGTCATCAAACACACCTTCTCTTCCAGAGTGGCCTGCCAGATCAGATGATCCTACCTGCACCAGCTCCTCTTCAAACACTATGAGATGTTTTCTGTTACTTGTTACTTGATTCAATGACAAACATCATTACCAGCCGAGCAACAGAATGAGGTATGATGTAATTTCCATGATATTGTCCCATTGATTTAGACAAATGCTTCATTAATTAACCTCTAATGGTAGCTAACAAGGTGCAATGAATCACAGGTAAGCATTTATCCTCCAGTAGGCCCTAGTAATTCCTCAGGTCAAACCTCAGTTTCTTCTTAGACAAACCCCAGGCTTCTCAGGAGTATAGCTCACTGACTTGATTTGCCCAGACTGTGACCTAAGCCCCAGCATGTCCATTGAGCACAGCCTTCTAAGAAACATCTTAAACAGTGCTCTCTGCCCTTCCCTTCCTTTTCTGGGCCTCCAAGAGAAGTTCTAGGTACAAGAAACACATCCCAAAGTAAAGATGATGGGAATGGCCTACTGCCTAGACACTACTTTGACCTAACATCAAATCATACCTAGAGGGAATCTAGAGCTGCAAGGAGTGTCAGTGATAAGGTAGGTACATCTAAATGCAGATAGAGAAAATGAGAGATTGAGAGACATGGAGAAAACAGGGGAGTTCAATCAGAGTAAGATAAATGGCAAGCAACCACCACCACAAATGGGAAAAGGAGAGGGAGAATAATGAGGATGGGAAGTAGATTGAAAAAGGAAAAAAGACTAATAGAGGGCAGAGTGAGAGTGTGTAGAAAATGGAGAAGGAGAGGAAAAAATGAAAAGGAATGGTTGGCAGAACTGAAAGTTAAGCAGAAATATACTTACCATCTATAAGCATCTGAAGGTGAGGCCGGGCTCAGTGGCTCATACATATAATCTCAGCACTTTGGGAAGCCAAGGCAGGAGAATAACTTAAAGCCAGAAGTTCAAGACCAGCATGGGCAACATAGTGAGCACCTGTCTGTATAAATTTTTTTAAGTTAAGAAAAAAAAAAAAGTATAAGCATCTGAAAGTGGAAGGGATCTGATACATCCTAACTCCAAAAGATGAAAATTACAAGACAGAGATAATATGATCATAACAACTTCCTAAAAGTTGAAGCATAAGAATTGTAACTGCTCATTCTTTGAAAATGGAAAAAGAACAAATTTACTGCCAGAGACAAAGGGACAGTTGAAAGTTCTCTGATGGTCCATTCTAGAAAGGCTAGATTTATGCCCTGCTTATTATAGCTTCCCTTTTCGCACAGGGATGGTTGGATCCTTTCCACCAAATTGTGTGTAACAGTAAATTCCAACCCCAGAAGGAAAACTGTCTCCTGTTAGAAACGCATGAATGATCTCCCATTTAGCCCCCAGCTCCAGCATGCATAGCATGGGTGGCTGCGGTAGGAGCAGCAACTGCTAGGCGAGTGAATCTGGAAAGAAGTAGGTAACTGGGAAGTGCTTGATATGACTGTCTCCAAAAAAGTGCAAATCACTGTTAGCTGAGGAACAATCCTGAGGATTACAATGTTTTTATTTTCCTTGAAATTTCAACCCATTCATCATTTTAAATTAGGTACACAGGGACTGAGCATTTTTTCCTTCTAGAAAAATACACCTTTAAATATCTCAAGCGCTTCCTAAATATGATCTAGAAGCTGATAGCCACCATCCCTTTCCCTCACACACTCAATTCTTCAATTCCTAAAACTTTTCCTCCTTTTGTATGGGTATCAGACCCAATTATCTTATTGTTTCACTTCTGAACACATCGTGGTTAGTGGCTAATCCTTCAATATTGAGGGATCCAGAGCAGGTGCAATACTTCACTTGATGCCTGATCAAACCAGAAAAAAGCACATTATAACCAGTGCTTCCTTTATGTTTGGATATTATGAGTCTATGTGTGCAGCCTGTGGTGACCCTGGCATTTTTACCACCCCATAACACTGCCAAATTATTAGAGTTTACTAAGTTCCAAAAGGTTGACCACCACTCATCTATCCTGTTTTATATTTGGGCTTCTGAGACCAAGTGAGTACCTTCTATTACCCCACAACTATACCCTTATGCTTTCCCACCTTCCCTACTCAAGCAGGTCCCAGATGCTAAGGAACAGCAGCACAGTGACGGAATTTATCCTCATGGGCTTTCAGCAGAGCTCCACTTCCACACGTGCATTGCTCTTTGCCATCTTCTTGGCCCTCTACAGTCTCGCCATGGCCATGAATAGTTTCATCATCTTCATCACCTGGACAGATCCCAAGCTCAACAGCCCCATGTACTTCTTGGGCCACCTGTCTCTCCTGGATATCTGCTTCCTCACCACTACCATCCCACAGATGTTGATCTACCTCGTGGTAAGGAACCATACTGTCTCCTTTGTATCTTGCATGACCCAGATGTACTTTGTCTTCTGCGTTGGTGTAGCTGAGTGCATCCTCTTGGCTTTTACGGCCTATGACCATTACGTCACTATCTGCTACCCACTTAGCTACGTCCAGATCATAAGCCAGAAGGTCTGTGTCAGGCTTGTGGAACTGCCTGGTTCCTTGGGCTGATCAATGGCATCTTTCTTGATCATATATCATTCCGACAGCCCTTCTGCAGAGACAACCACATAAAAAACTTCTTTTGTGAGGCCCCCATAGTGATCAGCCTCTCTTGTGGGGACTCTCAGTTTAGTCTCGTGGTGCTGCTCAGCCCCATGGTCCTCACTGTCACTTCCTATGTGTGCATCCTGGCCACCATCCTCAGCACAGCCTCCTCCTCAGGTTGGGGGAAGACTTTCTCTACTTGTGACTCTCACCTGACTGTGGTCATCTTTCTCTACACCTCAACTATGTTCTCTTACATGAACCCCCACAGCACACATAGGCCTGACAAAGACAAGCCTTTCTCCCTCCTGTACACCATCATCACCCTCATGTGCAATCCCATCATGTACAGTTTCCACAACAAGGAGATGAAGGAGGCCATGGTGAGGGCACTTGGGAGAACCAGGCTGGCCCAGGCACAGTCTGTCTAGCAGGAAGGCCCTGAAAGGACAGCTCCTTTACCTGGGGTGTGGGAAAGTTACCCCTTCCCCAGCCCTGGCAGATGAATAACTCTCAATGCTGAAAAGCTCCAGGAAAGAGCATTCACAGCTTCCTTGGCACTAGAATCAGAATAGAAATTTCCTCCTGATGTCTAATATCCTGATGTCATCTCTCTGACTTCACTTCCAGCATTGTTTTTTCTTGGACCTTCCTCAGGAGAATTTCAGATTTTCCTTAGTTTCTTTTCCTAAGTTCTCACAACAGGATACAATAAATAAGTGCACTTCACTCCGTTTTATTTGTATGTACCATTACATTCTATTCCCCCAGCCTGAGTTTCGTACAAATATTTAGGAGTAAACTTTTTTATTTTTAACTTTTCATTTTACTCTGTTTTTCTTTTTCAAATTCCACTCTCATTTCCTGGGTCTATCCTCATCTATCCAATTCTTAAAAAAAAAAAAAAAAAAGCCTGGGCACAGTGGCCCATGACTGTAATTTCAGTATTTGGGAGGCCGAGGAGGGAGTCTGAGACCTGCCTGGGCAACATAAGGAAACCCATCTCTACAAAAAATTTTAAAAATTAACTGGGTGTGGTGGCACATGCCTATAGTCCCAGCTACTGAGGAGGCTGAGGTGGGAGGATTGCTTGAACCTGGGAGGTCAAGACTGCATGAGCCATGATAGAACTGCTGCACTCTAGCCTGAGCAACACAGCAAGACCCTGTCTCATAAAAATAAAGGGGTGGGGGTGGAGGAAGGGAGGGAGGGAGGGAAGGAGGGAAGAAACTAACTAGGGACCAGCATTGACATAAGAAAACTCAGAGAAAAGAAAAAGAAAGGTCAATAGCCTGAATTTCATCTTCTTAGCTTCTACCAGTCATAGGGGGAGAATCTGTGGTGATACTAAATGTCAACAGTGCACTCAATTTGTCTGTGTTGTGTGTTATTGGGGAGGGTTGGGTGACAGAGGCCAGTGTGCCAAATCCCTTTTCCTAAATCCTCTAGCTTCCTTTAGCAACAAGATCATCTGCCTGATATTTCCCTTCCCATGCAAGTGGCAAGTGCCTCTACCAAGCTTCTCAGGCTACCAATTTCCTTCTGTTATCCATAACCCAAATTAACTCCCCTCTCCCTCTACTGCCTTCTTTTTTCTCTTCCATCTTTCATTTTATTCTATCTCAATCCTACTCTACCTTACCCCCTCATCTTAAACAGATCCCTGTATTTTAAGAAACCCTTCTCCATACTACCTCCACCATTGCAGAAGTCTTTCAATTTGTAACCCTTCCTCCGTGGCTTCCTCTAGCTTCTCACTTTAACCAAACCTAGCTTTCTTTGAGAAGGTACTACATTCTCACCAGTTCTCTTTCTTTGAAAATTGCATTTTTCTCATACCCCTTCGTAATAAATAAACAAGGGGGTAGGCCTGTTCTTTATTTCCCCATGCACTTCCATAACATGAATGGACCTCAGTTGGGATGCTCTCAAACAGATGTACTGCCCTTTCCACTCCTGCACATCACACACTACCCTTTGCAATGATGACTTTAAAACAGTAGCTTCTGGAGGGGCACAGTGGCTCACGCCTGTAATTCCAGGGCTGTGGGATGCCAAGGCGGGTGGATTACTTGAGGCCAGGAGATTAAGACCAGCCTGATCAACATAGTGAAACCCCATCCCTACTAAAAATACAAAAATTAGCTGGGTGTGGTGGCCCATGCTTAAAATCCCAGCTATTTGAGAGGCTGAGGCAGGAGGATCATTTGAACCTGGGAGGCGAGGGCTGGAGGGAGCTGAGATCGCGACACTGCACTCCAGCCTGGGTGAGAGTGAGACTCCATCTCAAAACAAAACAAAAACAGTAATTTCACTCCACAAAACTCCAATCTTTGGAGTCCAAATTGATTGATTTCTCCAGAAATCAGAGAATGTGAGATGCTCTTCTTAACAAGGAGAAAGGAGAAACCACTATAATTGAGAAGAAACAAAAAATGCAGAACCTAAAATTTCCATTGTCAAAATTTGCATCAAAGTTAAACAGGCAAGGAAGATTTTAAGACAATTACGAGATTAAACTCAACTCTACTGATACAAGAGTTTCCTCTTGGGGAGTTTTTAAGAGCTGCTGTAGGGGAAATCACATGACATTTGTGTTTGATAATTACAAAGGAAAAAGAAACTTTCTTTTATCTTCAAAACAAGCTGCAGTTTTACAATTCTGAACAAGGCACCCACAGGAGGTTAGGCTCCTACCCTCCCACAGAGACTGAGAGATAGGGGTGCTATATCTTCCTTGATGATTACATTTCAAAGGGATGGATCCCAGGTCCTTGAGAAAGACATTCTTGGGTCGTAAAACTGGCAATAAGCTTCTAAGGAGATTTATATACTTTTCAAAGAAGCAGAGAATTTGCAATCACAAGTTTCCTAAAGTAAACACTGGAAGAAAGGGGAGGTGAAGGGCCTAACTTCCAGAAGAAATCTGTCTAAAGCTGTCAGGCTGAGGTGAATGTTAAGGCTCTTTTGGTCACCATGGAGAACAACAACAAAATGAGTGCCTATCTTTCCCCCTAGGGTCTCAGCTTCTTCTCTAGGTTTGAAAATTCCTACCTCAAAGAGGAAAAGGTGAAGGAACGGAAGAAAGGGAAAGGAGAAGAAAGACCGCTTTTTAAAAAGTTTTCTAGGAAATCACTTCTTAACTTTACATTTGCCCAGCACTGCTAGACGCTGAGATTACAAACAAGACAGTTCCAGCTTTTGAGAATCTCAGTCTAGTAGGGCAAACAAGAACAAATAATGGTAATAGAAAGGGCAAGTGTTATAAAAGGCCTACACGAAGTACTTTGGAAGCACATATAACAGCAGCTCATACTTATTAACCACTTACAGTACATTGTAAGAGCTTTCCATTTAATCCTCACATAACCTTATGACGTACTAGTATTATCTCAATGTTAAGATGCAAAAACGGAGACTCATAGAGGTCAAATACTCAAAATCCACAGCATTTACAATGGCATAGAGGCCTGCACCTATAATCCCATATACTCGGCAGGCTGAGGCGAGAGGACTGCTTGACTCCAGCCTGCAGTAAGCTATGATCCCACCACTGCACTCTAGCCTGGGCGACATAACCAGACCTCATCTCTAAAAAATAATAATAATAATAATAATAAAATGGCATAGCACCTGTTCCAGGGCCTGCACTCCTAAGGAGGTCCAGAACGGGGCAGGCTTTATTCCAAGCAGGTAATATTGGCTGAGCCGTTAAAAATGCGCAAGAGTTGTAAGGTAGAAAATTGGGGTGGAGGTTCGATACCGGGGACGAGTGAAATTCCAGGCAAGAGGAATCGCCTGCTTCGTTGTAGAACTGGTGCTGTCAACATGGATGGCAGAAGGTGAGCTGGGGCCCGGAATGCTGGAAAAGCAAGCTGAGTGACCTAGAACTGCTTTTTCAAGGGCGAGCACTGTCTCATTCAAGGCCCTGGGCTCCCAAAGGGCCTGGCGCCAGGCAGGAACGGACGCGAACGGAGCTCGCACAAGAAGCCACAGCCCTGGCCGCGTCTCTCCTGCGGTAGCTTCGGCCCTGGTTTCTGGCCTCTGCAGGACACAAATCGCCCCCACACTCTACGAAAACTCGTGAATATGTAATAACCAGAAATCACCCTGAAACTGCACGGCACTTTCCAGTCCCCTTTCATGTCCCAATGCAAAGCCACTTGTCGCCGGTGGGCATGCAACCAAGCTCTGGGGTTACCAAGGCTCAGCCCAAAGGCCGAAAATGTAGGAAGGGTACCCAGGAATGGCCGTCCGCAGGGTGTGGCTGGGCCCTTGGCTCCCTCACACCAAAAGCCGAAGCTGACGCCATGTTTCCAGGGCCGGCTACGCGACGCACGCCCCAACTACCCAGGAGGCTGTGGGGCCCCTGACCTAATTAGAATGGGGAGAGGAGATAGGCGTGGCCTGCGCTGACAGCCTGTGACAGCCTTCCTCGGCCTCTCAGACCGGGGCGGTGGCAGCCAATGAGCGCCTTCTCCTTGGCCGCATCGCCCGTGCGGAATTGCGGTAACCTAACAACCTGTGGGGAACGCGATCTATTCTGGGACACCAGTGTGGCTGCTCAGTCCCTCCGGCGGGAGATGAGGACCTTGAGGCTTAGGATCGCCTCCTAGCCAAGTGGCATGGTTGAGATGCTGCGCCCCATTGGCGCAGGATGGGATGAGAGAGAAGCAAGGCTTGACGCAGACCTGAGCAGAGGACTCTGCCAATCACATCCAGCCTCCACAGCTCCCAGCTTTGACCACGAATCCTAAGCCTAGTTCTTTCGCAGTGATAGCCCCCACTTTTAGCGCATTGTATAAGTGTTGAATCCTCTTCCCTCCATTGAACAACAGTGTCCTTTGAGCTGCCTTACCTCCCCTTTCCAGGTACTCCCATAAGCCCTGCCTCTTTCTGGATTTACTAGACTTTCTTTGAGTTCCCTTAATAATCTGTGCGTTTTTCTATCACTGTATTCCCTTATTGTTCTACAGCGTATTTACTTTTCTATCTTCTCCACTCGTCTGTGATTTATTTTGTAATTCTTCGCACAGTATCTGGCCAGAGGAGATGCTGTAGTGCTATTTCCTCAATGAACTCTTAGGCAGAATCCTGATGTATTAACCAAATAAAAACAAAGCTGTTCTGATAGGAGTGGAGGGGGAATGTCCAGAGCCCTGAACCCTCAGGGAAGTCCCTGAGGCAACTATCATTAGTTAGTGACCTCCTCTGAAATATTGTTTAACATATAGAAATATGGTTTATTTAGGAGATGAGAAATATATTTAGAGCCTCTGGGAGCACTTCGTTTGGGTCTTACTTGAAGACCCAGCTGCATTCTTACTCTTGGGTTCTGTGAAATAACCTTACAACCATATAACAAATGCCTTTTGTTGTTGTTTGGCTTAAAGCTGTCAGAAATGGACTGGTTTCTTGCAACCGAAGATTCTTAGCTGAAGAGTCTTAACTAGGACAACTATGCTTCAGTGTGGATACGAGGATTATATAACAAAGTATTTCAAGCGCTTCAATTAGCACCTCCAGAAATGTTTCTCCCCTCTTCTGTTAACAGTATCCATGTGCCCAGAGCATCAGACTTAACCTGTTTTTTGTACAAGTTCAAAATAACAAGCCCATTTTGTGGTCAGTTTTCTTTTTTGCAAGATTTTTTCTCATTCCAGCTTCATCTTTCAGGTGTTATGATTTATGGTTTCTTTGTTTTGTTTTGTTTTGCTATGTTTTGAAGTTTTGTTTGTCCTTGAAAGGATTGAATTAGTCATACTGCTCAGTTCGTGGCATACTATCATCAGACCCTGACAGAAAGTCCCTCTCGTTTCATTTATTTATTATTTGTTTATAACCTTCAAATCCCATTTTCTCCCTACAATAGGCAATTTTCTAATTTGCTTAATGTGCATATTTCCATTTACTATGTGCAAGTGTATAAGTGTTTTCTAAACATAGTTATGTTTAGAAACTATGTGTTTTCTAAACATAGTTATTATTTTGTGGGCATGGATTTTTAAGTGTACTCCAAAGCTACTGAGATATTTGTCTCATTACATACATATTTTTTAACCTAAGCACTGTTTTTTAGCTCCATCCACATTGCCAGATGTTAATATTTAATCTATTACTTCACATTGATGCCTAATAGTACACGGTATGCATCTGCCCACTCTTCCACTGATGAGCTCCCATGCTGCTTCCAACTCTATACTACTACAAATAGCCGTGAGTTGAAAATCCTTGTATTGGTCCCCTTGTAAACTTGTAAGAATTTGTTTTATGTTACTTAGGGGAGGAATTGCTGCTGGGCTGCTGGATATAAATCTGTTTAATGTGTCCAAGTAATGCCATATCGCTTTCCAAAAGTGGTCAAACCAATCTTGCAGCAGTGCAGGATTCTGTATTTCCACATCGGACAACACTTGCAATTTTTTTTTTTTTTTTTGACAGAGTCTCACTCTGTTGTCCAGGCTGGGGTGCAGTGGCATAGTTATGGCTCACGGCAGCCTCCTGGGCTCAAGCGATCCTCCTGCTTCAGCCTCCTGAGTAGATGGGACTATAGGTTCATGCCACCATGCGCAGCTAATTTTTAAATTTTTTGTAGAGGTGGGATCTCACTATGTTGCCTAGGCTCGTCTCAAACTCCTGGGGTCAAGCAGTTCCCCCGCTTTGGCTTCCCGAAGTACTGGGATTACAGGCATGAGCCACTGCACCCAGCCAACACTTGCAGTTTTCTAGATTTCTATTCACTGGTTTGATAGAAATAAAGTGATATCTCATTATTGGTTTAATTTGCATTTGATTACTAATGTTTTGATCAAATTTCCATATACTTATTAGCTTTCTCCTCCACAATTAGTTGCTTATTCGTATTTTTTGCTCCTTTTTTTTTTTTTTTTTGAGACAGAGTTTTGCTCTTGTTGCCCAGGCTGGAGTGCAATGGCACAATCTTGGCTCACTGCAACCTCTACCTCCTGGGTTCAAGCAATTCTCCTGCCTCAGCCTTCCGGGTAGCTGAGATAATAGGTGTCCACCACTATGCCTGGCTAATTTTGTATTTTTAGTACAGATGGGGTTTCTCCATGTTGGTCAGGTTGGTCTTGAACTCCTAACCTCAGGT